TGAATGCCAGAATGGAAAAGTCTTCCGTTAAATGTAAGGATTACACCAGAAGGCAACATCTAATGGTGTGGAAACAGTAGAAACAATACTAAGCTATATATCATGAAGAAGAGAGGCTGGGCTCCATTTTTGGGACTCCAGCTTGTAAGAAGAAAGGAAGCCAACAATAAGCAAACAGGTGACTGGAACTGGGCAGAGTGGCCCATGCCTATAGTGTCAGTGCTAAGTAGGCAAGAGGATTGCCATGGGTTCCAGGCCAGCATAAGCTACAACAGTGAGTTCTATTTAGCCTGGCCACCTGAGCTAGTCTACAGAGTAAGATTGTCTCAAAAAAAGCCAAAATGGGGGAAGGAAGCAGGAAAGAGGGGGATGAGAGAGGGGAAAGAAAGAAAGGAGGAAAGAAGGGAGGGAGGGAGGGAGGAAGAAGGAAGGAAGAAAGGAAGGAAGGAAGGAAGGAAGGAAGGAAGGAAGGAAGGAAGGAAGGAAGGAAGGAAGGGAGAGCTGCTCTAGCTGCTACTTAGCAAAAGGAGCAGTAGGCTTTATTGATTTTCTGGGGTGGGCTGAACTTCTATAATTGTCAATTAGTCATGGGCGCAGTTTCAAAGATGTTCTTCCTGTGTATAAACATGCTGGCCTTGTACTTGGTGGACTAAAGGGCAGTCAGCTTCACTTAGGAACTGCTGAGTTATCCTAGTGTCATCATTTTGTATAAATGTCCTAGCCTTGTGGTTTAGTCCAGGACTTATGACAAGGCCCTGAACTGCAGGTACTTATTTGCAAAGAAAGCCCCAGGCAGGGTAGAAGAAATCCTTGCCAGTTCCAATGGGCAATAGGTGAAGTTAGTCCTGTACTAAACAGTTCTCAAATGATCAGCATGTCTAGATGCAAAGTTCAGTGGAGTATGATCAAAATGGTGAAGCAGAAAAGATGAGAGACATGCCATAAAGACAGAAATTCCAAACTTTTTATCCCATTTAGTCATCTATCAGGTATCTGTGAGCTCCACTGAAGAGTCAGTATTTGGCAAAAGTTGTCTTCAAATTTCAACAATATAGGTTATGCAACTGTTGTCATAGCCGTTCATTAGAGGTGTTATCACCAGCAAGCTAGCAAGATGCTAAGAATGTATCCTCAGCCCTGTGATCTCCAAAATTAGAGATTTTTTTAAGTCAAGGAAGAACAAATGCCGTGATTTTGCTCCATCAGTTTGTCTGGGGAGAAAGGAGAAAAGAATTAGAATTAACCTTCAAAAAATGTGTTATTAGCTTGCTCAGATGTGTGCCTTTTCACCTATGTCACAGGGATGTAATGTAAGGATGTAGCTCCTCTGCTTCCATCACTTGATCTACGAAGTACCATGTACTTGGTCTTCCCTAAGAAGAAGAAGAGGAGGCATGTTGTGACATCCTGCTTTCAAGTGGATTAGTACATGAGACACAATTAAAAAACATTTTCTGTCCTTATTGAATCATGAGCTATGCATACCCTTTACACTTTCCCAACCTTTGTTAGTTGATATTCCAAGTAAGAAGACCTTTAAAGATGTGCTTATATTCACTGGTGGCTTTGGGATTATTTTGAGATGTGAAAATCCTTAACCTTTAGTGCTCTATTGATGAAAGAACCCATCATCATTGCTAGTGTATGACAACATGTGCTCTTAGGTGGAAACCGAGCCAACTCTGAGCCACTGGACCCAAGTGAGTTGGCCCCCAACAGCGAACAGTCAAAACTATAGCTTTAGGCCAAGAACATGGAGATTGACTACAAATTATTGCTTGTGGTCCACTTCCAGTTTCCAAGTGCAAACATACCGAAGTTTATTTTAAATTTGAGCCAGTCAGACATTTAGTAATATACATCAAAGAAGGAGCAAAGGCTTTCCCTGTTTATTATTTCAACATGATGTCTGTCCCAATAAAGCATGCACACGATAGATCATGCAGGAGAAGTCCTTTAGGTCCGTGGTTTGCCCTTAAATCTGAACATATACTTGTAAATTAATCTGAAACACATTGTCATGTCCCAATCCCTCTGAAGGCTGATTGTTCTCAATCGCTCTTTTAATTTTAGAAATCCAGTGGCCGACTGCCAGGGCACTTACAGATCAGCAGTCACCCCGTGTATAAAAGGGGCATGGATCTGGAGTGCTGAAAACCCGCAGCATGGCATTCAAAGAACTTAAAACTTATTCTAGTCTTCCCTATTAATTAAAAAAAAGCCATCTGCGCAAGGTGAATTTTGGTAAGGTACCAATGTTTTTAATGATTCTGGATGGAATTTGAAATGGCTTATGAAATAGAGAAAGTATAGCAAGGGATTCCCAAGATAAAATGTACTGTTTATAAAATTCTGCCGTCATTTGACTACATTTCTAATAAAACAGTAGAGAGTGTTCTTGTTATTCAATCAGAATTTGCAATCAAACTTGAAGGACTTGGCTCTGTAGTAATCTAGGAACATCCACTTCCTGCTCTTCTCCTAAACTACCCTTTTTCATCTAAATTTCTCTCTCTCTCTCTCTCTCTCTCTCTCTCTCTCTCTCTCT